AGGGAAAAGAGCACTCCTACGCTGCAGAGTAGGAGTTGAAACTCTTATCATCTTTGGTAAATGTGTCTACTCTCTGACTCACAAATTCCACTTCTAGAAATACATTATCCTAAGAAGGTAATCAAGCAAAATTACAAAAATGTTTGGCAAAAGATGATTATCATAGCATTGTTGGAATAACCTAAATGGCAATCAACAGGAAATAATTCAAATAAATGATGGTATGTCTAAACAATGGGACATTACATAGCCATTAGAATGATGATGTGGATTTTTTAATTTACTAACTGGAAAGTATGCACAATTTATTAAGATAAAAGCAGATACAAAACAGCAATTACAGCATGAGTTCCTCCCTTTTATTAGTGTGTCTCTCTCGTTCTCTCTCTCTCTCTCTCTCTCACACACACACACATACACACACACACACACACACACACACACAGCCGGGAAGAAATGCTGGTCACTTAATACTAGTTATCTCTCTGGGTATAATGAATGCTTTTTCATTTATTTTTATACTATTTTATATTTTCTGGATATTCTTTTTACAATGTATACACATTACTTCTATTTTTTGTTGTTTTTTTCTTTTTATTGTTGTTTGTACATACATTACTTTTAAAATTAGAGAAATTAAGTTTCTTCTGGAAAAACAAAACCACCATTCCCTCCACATTGGTAATTGACGTAGAGCAAGATGTTTGGTAAAAGCAGACATTCTATGACGGTTTCAACAGTGGAAAAGTAGCAGGGATAACTTTGAGCATTTGCCAAAGTAGTGTTACCCACCCGGCTCTGGTTTTAACTAATGCCCAAATTAACAAAAGCTCAGAAAGTTCTTAAACTGAAGTAAATTCAAAATAGAAAATAGAACTATGAATGCTTGCTTAAACTCAACTTTTAAAATCTTCAGAAGGCCAACTATTCATTTGTTCTCACATTCTCAAAAAGGAACAAAAACTGAAAAAAAGAAGAAAAAAAAACTCAGCCAAAGAAATCTTGAGAAAGAACAACAAAGCTGGAGGCATGATGCTCCCTGATTTTAAACACTGACAAAAAACTATAGTAATTAAATGATATGACACTGGCATAAAAACAGACACATCAATCAATGGAACAGAATAGAGAGCCAGAAATAAACCTACACATATATGATCAATTAATTTGTGACAAACAAGCCAAGAATATACAATGGGGAGAGGACAATCTCTTCGATAAATGGTGTTAGAAAAACTAGATGGCCACATGCAAAAAATGAAATCAGACCCTAACTTAGACCATTCATAAAAATTAACTCAAAACGGACTAAAAACTTGCTCATAAACCTAAAACCATAAAATTCCTAGAAGAAAACATAGGTGCAAAACGAACTGACCAACAAAACAAGACCCGAAGCATAGAGGCATGGAACAGACTGACATACCTCCATGTGGGGGTGGGGGGATGAGGAGAGAGTAACCAAAGAACTTATATACTTACTAGAGGCCTGGTGCACAAAATTCATGCACAGAGGCGAGGTGGGGGGGGGTTCCTCAGCCAGACCTGCAGCCTCTCCAATCTGGGACCCCTCAGGGGATGTCCAACTGCCTGTTTAGCCCCTATTGCCCCTCTGCTGGCCTGATCGCCCCTAGCTTGGCCCCTGCTGGCCTGATCGTCCCTACCTTGCCCCCCTGCTGACCTGATCACCCTTAACCACCTCTTACTTGGCCCCCAGGCTAAGCCGCTGTCTGGCCTCCCTCTGCCAGAGGTGACCTGGCCGATCAGGGGAAGGTGCAGCCCCGATCACCACCTTGGCTGCCTGAGCTTTGGGCCTCGCAGCCGGGCATGGCTGTCTGAGCCTTGGGCCAACCCTGGGCAATAGCAGCTGCCATCTGCAGCTTGCCTGAGCCTCAGGCAGCTGCTGCAGCTTTGTCCAGAAGGACGTCCAGAAGACATCCGCCCTAATTAGCATATTACCTTTTATTAGTATAGATTAGAATAGACTAGAGGCCCAGTGCACGGATTCGTGTACCAGTGGGGTCCCTCGACCTGGCCTGTGGGGATCAGGCCGAAACCAGCTCTCAGACATCCCCTGAGGGGTCCCAGATTGCGAGAGGGCAGTTCCTGGGTGATGCACCCCAGAATTGGGCTCCCTCCTCTCTGGTTCCCAGTGCATCACTCGAGAACTGCAGCTACCAAGTCACCACAGCTCTGCAGCTTCTGTGTTGAGTATCTGCCCCCTGGGGGTTAGTGTGCATCATAGCTACCGGTTGGAGCTTCTGCCCCCTGGTGATCATTGTGTATCATAGCTACCAGCCAGTTGGCCGGTTGCTTAGGCTTTTATATATATAGGTATGTGTAGTCCATGGACATGGGCAATAGGGTAGTGAAGACCTGGGGGATGAGGGGTAGGGACTAGGCAAAGTGGGGTAAATGGGGGGAAATGGAAGACATCTGTAATACTGTCAACAATAAAATAATTTTAAAAGAGAAAATAATACAATAATTAGCAAATAATAATAATTTTTAAAACATAGGTGTAATGTCCATGACATAGGTCTTGGAGATGATTTTTTGAATCAGACACCAAAAGTAAAAGCAACAAAATAAAAATAACTAAGTAGGAAAACAGCAAACTAAAAAGCTTCTGCACAGCAAAAGATACCATCAACAAAATAAAAAGGCAACCAACTGAATGGGAGAAAATGTTTGCAAATCATATATTCAATAAGTGGTTAATATCTAAAATACATAAAGAATTCATACAACTCAATAGCAAAAAAATTCGATTTTAAAAATGAACAGAAGATTTAAATACACATTTTTCCAAAGAAGACATAGAGATGGCCAATAGGTACATGAAAAAAATGTTCAACATTAATCATCAGAAAAATGTAAATCAAAACCACAATGAGATACCATCTCATACCTGTTAGAATGGCTATCACCAAAAAGATAAGAAGTAACAAGTGTTGACGAAGATGTGAAAAAAAGGAAACCGTTTTTCCAGGGGAATATAAGTTGGTGCAGCCACTATAGAAAACAGTATGAAGATTCCTTTAAAAAATTAAAAATACAACTACCATATGATCCAGTAATTCCACTTCTGGATATTTATGCAAAGGAAACAAAAACCCTAACTCAAAAAGATATATGCAACCCCATGTTCACTGCAGCATTATTTACAACTAGTAGCCCGGTACACAAAATTCATGCACATTAAAAAGGAATTAATTGCCCTAACCGGTTTGGCTCAGTGGATAGAGCATCGGCTTGCAGACTCAAGGGTCCTGGGTTTGATTCCAATTAAGGGCATGTACCTTGGTTGCGGGCACATCCCCAGTAAGGGGTGTGCAGGAGGCAGCTGATCGACATTTCTCTCTCATCGATGTTTCTAACTCTCTATCCCTCTCCCTTCCTC